GCAGATACATGTGGAATTGTGGTAATTTAGGAGTTATTCCTGAGAAACATTTCCCAAGAAATAATCAGTTAAGGGCCTCTTCTCTGCTCCAGTTAAAAAATTCCAGACTTTGGCTCTGTAAGCACGTTATCAGCACACAAGTACAATCAGAGCATGAACGCCTCATCTTACCATCATCAGACTGTAGTCATTGTAATGAGAACCTCTCGCGAAAGAATTCTCTTTAACAGTGGCAGGCTTTCAGTGACATTTCCCCACTCCCCTTCTCACCAAAACTAGACAGGTATCCACCAAGGCAAAGGTTCCTGAGCGACCAATCCCAGCGCTGCAGTGCACCACTGAGGGCCCATGCTCCGGGTCCAGCGAGCCAGACTCCCGAACCTTGAAGAGGAAGTTGAGGAAGGAGGCAGGGGATTCTGGAACACCGAAGTCAGGCCATGTGGTGTAGTGAAAGTGATAGATCTCTCTCGACTCCTCTGTCTGTGGTAGGCATAATGTTTGGTCAAGACTGGAGCATTGTATAGACACAGTTCTGCATGACTTAGCTGATTTGTCACTAGGAAAACATTACACACTCTGAAATCACAGTCTTTTTTCAGCTACATGCTAATACACTTAAATGGTAAGAGACTGGTTAAGCAGTGCTTAAAACCATGCTGAAACTCAAGAGAGATGCTATTAACCAATAGGCGCCCTTGCATACTCACCTTTGTATTTTGCAGTTCCAGCAATCTGATTGTGAAATAGGATTGGTCCTCCTCTGACAGTAGCCTCACAACAAACCCTGTGTCTGTGAAAGACATCTGTAGCTCCTCGGTGGTAGGCCAGTATTGCGCGCACTTTTCCTGTTGAGACAAATACATTCAGTTACTCATGCACAGGCTGTCATGTGCCTCGAGCCATTTGAAGAACTTCTGACTTAAATACTGAGTACAGTTGCGCATATGTACACCATTTCTCCGATTCAGAAAATCAACCGTGTACGAAGAGCACAACTAATTACGTTCTTGTACACCGAAGTACCTGACAGCTTGTTTCCAGTTTCCATAGGTTGTTCTTGGCACCAAGGCCATGATAGTTAGCTACACTAAACTCAACTAAACTCCAAAGTGTGGAGAGAGAGAAAAAAAAGTGTTTACTGAAACTTAAAAAAAAAACAACAACAACAAAAAAAAAAAAACAACGAAGCACACAACAATGAAACCTCACTGAAAATGAAACCTTTTTAGAGAGTAAAACTTAAACTGAAACATGAAAACCAAATACAAGTGAAACTAAAAATCAAAAAAACACATTCAAAACTAAATGCAAAAAGAAACTAAGTAATCATTAACTTCCCTGGAACTGTGGTTAAAGTTTCAAATAAATGGAAACAACAGAACTGAAACTTTACATACAGTACAACTTAAAACATGACCACAGAGCTTAAGACAATCTTGTGAAACACAGAGTTCTGATGAAGTATAACACCACAGAGCAAGAAAAAGACATTTTAAACTGGATTTTTTTTTAATGTATGGAAATTAACTTTTTCCATTGTCAAGTAAAGGAATTTGAGTCATAATACCTGCCCAAAATATCTCAATTAGGCTTTGATCCATAACGAATTTAAACATCTGCAGCTCTTCAGTATTTCAATTCATTTTTTCAAAATTGTGACATTCTTTGCATCTCAATCTGTCTGTCAGCATGATTACACCTACCACGGTGAATTTCATGAAACATGGTGAAGAGATGGAACATGCCCGAAAAACAAGCCAATTAAATTTTATAGTAGATCTGATCATCTTTTTGAAAACTCCAAGACAGGGCTGAAATCCTTTCTAGTCTACCAGATAAAAGTGGGTACACTAGAAAGAAAACACAATAAAACGTATCTTGGATTCTATTTCATCTTGTAAACAGAATTTTAGCATCAGTGGAAATAGGAATGACAAAGACAATTGATCTAAAACCTTTTGGGATGAGCAAATGTATCTACATCTATTAATAAAGATATGTCTCCTCAAACTTTCAAACTAACCTAAACAGCAGGGGGACTTCAGAACATAATAATTAGCTGCAGTGTACTCACAGATCCTTTTTCAATCACTCTGTTGAGCATTATAACAGCTTTGCAACTCTGTTCCCAAATCATCAGCCAGAAATGGCCGCATGTATTCCTCAAGGGGCCCTGTCAAAGCAAAAGTAGAAAATCCACATAAACAAATAACATCCAGAGATCATGAACAACTACCAAAATGCCAAACTCAAATCCTGTGTATTTTCCTTTGAGTGGCACGCAGATGTGTTCAACAGATATCCGTGCAGACAGTTCAGTGTACACTGCTTGTCCTACAATCTACATACCTGAGAAAGAATGTAAGCTCTTTGGGCTTCTTCCACATCGACTAAACTTGCATTGATGTAGTCATTTTCAGAGTTTTCAAGTTTTACCCGACTGTGATCGTCTGAAACCAAGCAAGAGATCACAGAGCAATTATGACAACGTCATTCTCGGCAGCACATATCATCAATGAGAGCCTTAACTGTCGTAACACTCACATGGGCTGACATCTCTGTAGCGGTTCAGATTCCGATTCACTGGAAGCTTTGCCACTTTGTAGGAATATTCACTGGCTTGGTTACGGATCTCCTGTTGCAGATGAGAAACCAAACAGGAACTCAGAAGCATCGCTTTGACAGCGACAGGAAACTGTGACACAACCTGTTCAATTCATGTGCCTCCAGTTTTACTGGAGTGGTGACCAGTAATGACATTAAAAGAAAAAGCATACAGAGATCAAAGGTCCTCAATCCTTTGTACTCAATTAATCACAACTGGTCTGCTTTGTTTTCATTGTCATTTGTCAAACTTAATCTACTGCAATGCCTCAGGCTGTTGTTTTCCTTTTACAACACAGTCTGCATGGGCAAGGCCAAAGGGCGAGCACAGTTCTATTATTATTTCATTCTGGGGAACAGAAGCAGTTTTACTGGAGACAAGAAAAGAATAAAAGAGAACAAAAATTATTTTTGACACTCCCAAGAATACTGTCGTGAGCAGGGGCGTGTCCCCTCACTGCCACTGAGCTACAGCACCATGGATAAGACTAGTGGCAAAAGTAATTTTTAGTGGTACACAAAGTACAGTTTCAGTGCATAGATGTACTAAGACATGATGCTGTATTCTTGGTCTGCATATTTGACCTCCTTAAACCTCCCCATTTAGTCAAGCTTGGGACTTGTATTAGAAATGAACTGACAGAGATAAACCAATAACACATGGAACTGAAAAGCATCATTATGTACAATGACCACTATTGGTTTAAATATATTATCATGCTAACGACATTATCCTTAAAATGGGTAAGAAATTAAATTAAGTATTAGTATTCTCATTTCTGTTTAACCCCACTTTAATTCTCAGTAGGACTGGGAGCCTGACGTTAGCATGACAGAAATTTGATCTTTCATGAAATTACTTATCATGCACTTTTTATATATACCCCCCCCCCGCTCCCTGTCAAAAAGTTTTAAAAGGGTTTTTTAAAAATATTTTCTAAATATGTATAAAGTGTGCACGTTCATTTCTTCTTAATTTATTAACACTGTGTAAAAAAAAAAAACAGTTCTAGTTACATGGCATCTTTGTAGTTCGCAGCTGCACATTACAGGGTCATAGCCAAAGTTTAACCGGAACAGAGATATTATAAACGAAATGCTGTGCTGCGTGGTAAAACACAACACGCTTTTCTGTGGAAGTCCTGATGAGTTCTCAGAAACTGCGGCTGACGTCTGCTAGCGTCAGCCAGCATTAGCTAACCGAAGTGAAGATCGTGCCGATGCACGTTTTCCAGCTACGGAAGTCAGCTAGCGCGAAATGCTAGTTACTCATTCGTCTTTACCAAGTGCACTCCAATATGTATAAAGAACCTGGAAGTCATGTCGCGAAGTGCAGAAAATTACACAATTAAAAGCGTGGACGAAAAGTGACCAAAAACTCGAAGTGGTGTCTAACTTGATAGCTATCAAATTAGCTAGCTAAGTTAGTTAGCAACCGATCGTCATAGAAACAAGAGAGGCCCGGTCAGTGTCCCGACTTACATTGTAAAGGTTTTGCCATCTCCCCGACGAATCAATGTCTTGAAATTCTTGCTCCATTGTGTTGTAGTTAGTGAACCCAGACACTTGCCGGAATAATCTCAGAGTGTTTTCAGCACCGTTCACCAACTTACTCCTTTCTGTCAGCCATCTAAACAGCAGTGTGTGTAACCCTAGGAATCCCTGCGGGGAGTCTGCTGCTCCGGCACAATACTGCTTGCTTGCTGCCTGCCTGCCTGCACGCTGACTGACCCGGGTTGCCAGATATGCGTTCATCACAGCCTTCCGCAAACACACACACACACACACACACAAATCCTCTGGACACTAAACTACAAAAATCTGATATTAACATTAATATAAAAAACACAAGAAAGGATATTGACACTTAGCTCAGTGTTCTATTCAGTTGTTTCTAACTGGCAGATTCTTTTGGCCGTATTTCAAACACTAAAAACAAGCAAATAAACAAAACAAAAAAAACAAGGTATATTGCAGTATTTCAATTAATGCATTAATTTAATTAATTAATGCAATAATCTTATTGAACGCATAAAAGTTCTTTCACAATAAATCTACTGAATGTTTTTAAGTACTATTATTTTTGCCTTTACAAAATTCCTTTGCACAAATCTGTTTAAATATTGTTACTTGAAATGAACTTTTAGTAATAAAGTTAGCGAAGAAAAAAACTGTCAGTTGGATCAAACCTGGCAACCGCGCAAGAGGCGGCAGTAACTTTGACAGTATATTACATACTATATTTACTTTGGCAGTTGTGTATTATTAAACCTATTAATCTGTCTGTTCAAAGTAACTCTGGCTGTAGCACTTTTTCACCGAATAGCTTTCGTTATATGTTATCTTCTTATAAAGAACCCCAAAGTCGCATTGAGCTGCTTAAAATTTGTGTGCATGCGCCGCCGTGTGGTCAATAGCTTGTACTACACACAATCACATTACCGCCAAATAAACACAGCACAAGTAGACACATGACAGGCCTGCCAGCTAATCGTCCCAGCTAGAGTTGCCGGTACATAGTTGTCATCATGTTTGTTGCGCGTAGTATCGCGGCAGATCATAAAGATCTAATTCATGACGTATCGTATGATTTTCACGGCCGGAGGATGGCGACTTGCTCCAGCGACCAAAGTGTCAAGGTGAGCTGTACATCATAGTTTGCTAATGTTAGCATTAGCCGTTACAGCTAGCAGGATAGCCTTGCCCACATTACTGACACTCTCACTTTACATACTGAAATTACTGACTCGTTTTCCTGCAGTCGTTGACAGACGTGGCATGAGGTTGTTTGAGAAATCTTCCGCTGTTTCTTACACTCGAGGGAAATTATCTCAGTTTAATATGCTAGTCTGTTAGCTCTGGTGCTTGTAGCACACGAGCTAGGCTGGCCACAGATAAGTTCTATAGCATAGTAGTGTAGTTAAGCACTGCAGTTTTCCGACAGAGCTATCGATGTAGTGTTTATTATGTGACGACATAATAAAGGACGTACATACAAATGTCAGTGCAAAACCGGTGATAATTGTGCACAGACACGTGAGGAGTATTCAAGGTTGTGATTTTATTCCACTCAGGTCTGGGACAAAAGTGAGAACGGAGAGTGGCACTGCACAGCCAGCTGGAAGGTAAACCACCATAATTTCCTTTTCTTTTTTATTTATTACTTTATGTTTGTGTTTTTGAGTATGAACACAGCATGAAATTCAAAGTATCGATGGAGTTAATAGATGAATGCTGTTATGTGCAGACACACAGTGGATCAGTGTGGCGAGTGACCTGGGCGCATCCAGAGTTTGGACAGGTTCTAGCTTCTTGCTCCTTTGACAGAACAGCTGCTGTTTGGGAGGAGATCGTAGGAGAGTCCAATGACAAGCAGAGAGGACTGAGCCACTGGGTTAGTACACTTGCATTACATTTTCCATTTAACATAACTGTTTATTAGATTTCACCTGAGTGTTTCATGTTGGGC